TGCCGAGAAAATTGAGAAAATTAAACCGAATTATTTACCTATTTTGTTTTAATTTGTTACAGATACTTATCTAGTTTTCATTTGCAAAATAAACTAAGCGGTGTTGCATGGAGAAATTGTAGCGAACCGGTTATTGCATTGATTACTTTCTAGTAATAGCTATGCAAGCTTGACCAGCAGTGTTGATCAACATAAAAAATGAAATATACCTATGTTTATTAGTTCTAATTCCATTTTTTTAATTGAAGAAATTTATGCTTTTGTTGTTCATCCAGTGAATTGATTTTTGTTTTTCTTGTTGTTTTGGGATTTAAATGCAGGTGTACATGGCATGCATTCTACACGGCCATAGGTGAGTAATCTTAGTTATTTATCAATCCATATATACAGCACATCATTGCTTTTGCTAATGTCGTTAGTCATGGTATATAGTATAAACTACATTAGACTTTACCTTAATTCTTAATCAAACAGTAGAATGCATCCTAAAATGATGACTTTGCAACTCTTTCATTCCAGAGTTGGAGTTTCTTATTACGACTCCAGTATTCGCCAACTTCACGTGCTGGAAGTTTGGGAAGATGGCAGCACGGACTTCCCCCTAATTGATTTGGGTATGAGTTTCATGTCTCTTTAGGGAGCCTATTTCCTGTACTCTGTTGTTTTGGTACAGTACTTCCTGATGCTGATATATAATTCGTTTTCTTCTCACTCAAGTTATCTCTTGCACTCTCCTTGTGTCTGATACCATCAATTATATTTCTGTTACTGTTTAGTTGGCAGATCTTAATTTGCCTATCTGTTTCTGTATGCAGTAAAATATCAAGCTAGGCCCCTGATCATTTACACAAGCACTAAAAGTGAAGAATCCTTCTTGTCTGCTTTACAACGAAGTGGTATGTTCCTATCAAATGGAAGGTTCTGAATTTCAGCATGGGAGTAGTTGTTTACATTTTAAAATATTGCAGATGGAATGACTGAGGCCTTTACGGTGAAGCTTGTGAAAAGTTCCATATTTAGCTATGAGCAAGCATGGCACAGGTATATCTCTGATGATTTTGTTAAAATAATTGGAGTTTTGTAAACTTGGCTGAATATAGTGGGTTGAATGAAGGTTTCTGAGATCTTTAATTAACTATGGTATTCTATGTACCTGTTATTCTTAGGTTATGTTTGATGAGCCTCCTTAAATTTACACTCTGATGCTTAGGCTTTGCAGATAGGTTCAGATAAGAAACAATTGTTTCTTAAGTAGGTTGTTGAAATTTCTTCACACGTTTGCACTTGCAAAATTCAAAATTTAAAACTTAATACGTTCTCAACTGTTGGATGGGAAACCTTCTTTGCCATTCTGTTTATGTCTTCCCATCAAATTGTCGATCATCATTTCCGTTCTCTCATGTATCCGACATATATCATCATCTCTTTTCTCCCTGTTAGGGAAGGTTTTTGATAAAGCTACAATC